AATAGAAAAAGGGGGTGGGGGTGGGGGTGATGGCCAAAAGGGAAAAAAGAAGAGAAAAGATATTGTGATTCAGTGTGTTCGTTTGTTTGATCCTACGATATACTACTATTATTATTACTACTACTATTTTACTTACCGATGACGAAGATGCCGATAAGTCGAACTATGCCAAACTCCATATTGTTGTAGTTTAGAAGAACGTTGGCTAGATGAGCGGCTAGAAGAGCATAAACGCCACCACTCGCTCCGACCAGATAGACGTCAGTGTCGAACACCGAGGTACCCAGGGAACCTGCAGACAGTCAAGACCAAGGTATAACTTAGTTGAAAAGTACCTTTAGTTTAAGCACCACTGTTTTGCGAGTCGACGCGCGGTCTCTTCGCACGAGACCTCAAACTACCCTCTACCAATCTCCTTCTCCTCCTCTTTCTTCTTCACCACTCCCACGATCGTCAAACTTACTTTAAACCCCACTGTTACGTTGGTAAGTGTAGTACTGTTACTGTATTGTATTTTTGATAGAAAATTGTTAAAGGAATTTACTGCTTGCCTTTTCTTATTATTATTATTATTATTCTTATTATTATTCTTCTTCTTTCGCAATCCGACACCCTGATATAACTATATTTACTTTGTGTAAGACTTTAAATTAGATATTATATAGTTTAACATTGGTTATAATGTAATACTCTAACTTTAAGTTTAACCAGTTGCAAATCGATCATTCTTAGTTATCCTTTTGTAACGTTTTACATTCTCCGGTCGTATATCAAAGAAATAATAATAATGGTTTTATATTTTCTTTTTTCTTTTTCCTTCTTCTTTTTCTTTTCTACTTCGTACAAAATAAACTCAGACTCTTGATATAATTATTTAGGTACTTAACTGTATTATGATATATAGAAGATTGTAAAAGGAATTTACTATTAGGGTTTCTTCTTCTTATTATTATTCTTATTTCCTTTTTACGTTATCCGACATACCGAAGAATATACTATATTAAAACTTTTAATTAGATATTACAGTTTTACATTTTAGTATTACTAAATTTTGTCTAACTGTTAACAAATCGATCATTCAGTAGCATTTTACGTAAACGTATATCAAAGAAATAATATTAAGGGAGGGTATTTCATTTTGTTGTTGTTATATAATGGTTTATGCATAAAATACTTGGATACCTGATACAACTATTTTTTCTTTCTTTTTTTTTTAAATATATTATACTTTTAATAACTTTTGTTCGTAACAATTTTGCGATAATCGATCCTTCTTATGTTAAATATTTTTATGCGAAACTAAAGATCCGAATGATTTATATTTCTTTTACCGATAGTTTTTTTTTTTAATGTAGTTTTTAACTTCCAAGAAATGTATATTTATCGTATCCTTATAACTCTTCCTATCTTTCTTTTTCTCTCTTACTATAGCTCATATTATATCTATCTATCTATCTATCTCTCTCTCTCTCTTTCTCTCTGAACGTTACTTCACAAACTCGTCGATCCGAGAGAGAGCTGCTTAACTAGGATCGACTTGGTTTTCGAGAGATGTTGGTTTAAGACGACCAAGTTTCGAGAAGGCAAATAAATTAAATTACACAAGCGTCCATCCATACTATCACGATTCGATTAAATCGTGAGTGACTAAATGTTACAGGGTAACAGATTCTATATAGAAATTGACCGATTGCTATTTACTCGAATGTTCTTTTCAATTACGATATAACTATCTATTACCCTCTTTCTAACCACTTACCTTCTCTAACATTTAATTAAATATCCAGCTAATTAATGTTAGTACGGTAAAAGAAAAAAAAAAAGAAGGAAAGAAAGGAAAGGAAAATGAAAATGGAAAATTAAAAACGAGTCGGTAAATAATTATTAGACGAATAAAATAAATAAATATCGTGTTCGATATAATATAACGATAGAAGGGAAATTAACAAAAAAAAAAGAAGAAAGAAAAATAATTATCTAATAAATTCGAATGACTCGACATTGCCCGGCACTAACTGCTTCTTTCGTCATCCCCCCCCTTTTTTTTTTACTTTCCATCCCTTTCCACCTTTCTTTCTTTTTTTCTCTTTCTCTTTCTTTCTTTCTTTCTTTTTTTCTGGAATTATGAAATTCATTTGAATCCTCGTTAGGTGCGCCTTTGGCTTTAACTTCTAAGAATTGAAGAAAGGATGAAAAGAAGAAAAGGGAAGTGGGTCGGTGCAAAAGTAGTCGGGGCGGGTGTGGGTTAGGTCTGAGTGCAAAGACGCGAACTAATATTTCAACGACCTACTCCCGGTTACGGGTACGGGTACGGGTCGTACGACTTTTATATGTACGTTACTTCTTACATGTACATTTCTCGCGTTTCCTCTACTTCTTACGAGAAACTATTCTTCTTTATGAACAACCTAAGAATATAAGAATAACGTGTAATACACGTGTACGTAATACTAATGTTCATGTTTTAGAAAAATCTTTACGAAATATTTCTGTACGATTTGAAAAAGAAAAAGAAAAGAAGAAATACAAACAAATATAGAAAAGGTGAGCAAAAGAAAAAAAGTCATATCGGAAAAATTTGGGATCGATTAAACGGAAAAAGAAATAACCAAAAAACAAAAGCCGATATATCATATTATATTTTTGAGAAAAATTTGATTCTTCCATTTGAGAAAAATAATAAAAAACAAAATCAAAAAGAATTCAATTGAATTCTGACTGAGAAAGTAACAAAATATTATTATTACGGGGGAGACACATTCCCTGTGTTCTCTCTTGAAACGAAGTTTAACGAGGCAGCGACTTCCGCGGTAGTAGTTCCGGATACAACGTATCCGGGCTACGACGATGCGAGCAACAGGTGCAGCGGATCGTGTGCCACTGTCGGAATCGATTGTAAAAAAAAAAGAAAAAAAGAAAAAAAAACGAGAATAAAGAGAGAGAGAGAGAGAGAGAGAGAGAAGAGAGGAAAGAAAAAGGAGGTTACAAATAAAAAAAAAAAAAATAATAATAAAAACCAAAGGGAAAGTAGGAAACCGGTCAAATGTGCATGTATTCAAATTTATCTCTTATAGGTTATCATCGCAAAAATAAACGTAGAAGTGAAGGGCTTCTTCTTCGAATTTCTTTTTTTTTTTTTTTTTTT